GAATTTCTTTTTCGCTAACATCATTCGAGCCAACTTTGACGGTCTTCCAATCGAAGCAGGAGTACATTTCACGTCCCTTATCTCCGACGAAATTCATTAAATTGCAGATCTTTTCCTTTTCGTTGCACTTTGCCAACGGGCCTCCAAATACGAACTCGCAGTGTTGATAGAACCTCTCCCATTCCTTAAGCAAATCATCGGCTTTCCAGTTTAGAACGGGCCACGAATATCCACGATCATATCCTTGTGCCATTTTAGGCGGATTTGTGATTTTTAGTGGTTATGTTTCCGCAGTTCTGACACCATGTTACATATCTAAGCGATCACAACGATACACGTGTGTCGAAAGCCTGTTTATTACGCGCATGCGCAACAGTTGTACAATAACATAATAGTAATATATTAGCATAATTATAACCTAAGATGGGTATATAACAGTTGTCTTATCGATACCTGGAAGACAATGTTATACAATTTAGGATTGATCATTACAAGTAAAACTGTGATTAACTGATAGATTGGACAAAGCAAATAAAAATATTGAAAAAAGTTCAAGTTATCCTTTTTTATTAATCAACAATCTTTAAATAGACCTTTAGTAGCAAGTAGAATTCTACATATTTCCATAAAGTGCCAACAAAATAACTTTGATTCTTTTCCAGTAAATCTGTATGAGAATTCTTTAGCTGCTTTTTTTTCGGTGAACCACTGGATGAACTTATTGTAGAGTCTACCTGATTTCATGGTTTCTTTCACCACTTTTAAGTATTTAGCCACTGGTGTAGTTTTTGGTAAATTTGCAATATTTCCATCAGCTTTGTTTATGTCAGCTTTTTCAGTTAGGTGCATAGCAGTAGAAAAGGCATCTATGTTCCATTTTTGCCAGGAATTGTTGCTATTATGCAATGGTTCTGGTTTGAGGTAATCAACATATTTTCCCAGAGGCGGAATGAACTCCTGCCTTGACTTGATGGAAGCAATATATTCGGTTACTTTTTTTCTGTGGGCTTTATTCTTAGAATTCTCAGGAATTTTGGACTTTTCTTTGAATTTTTTCACTGCTTGTGCATCTTTTTTCCTCTTTTCAAAACTCCATTTCTTCCAAGTGCAGCTATTGTTAACTCCAATATTTCCATTTGTGATGTCCATGTCCTTTTTGGTTACTGTGGCAAATGAAGAAAAATATGTTGAGGCATTGTTAAGCTCACCAGCCATAGATGACATCCATTTCTGGTCACTTGGTATTAGTTTACATCTAAATGTAACAGTTAATCCATGTATCTGATATGTTTTCTTCTCAATCTCCTCCATTTCACTGATGATATGTTTGGTTTACTCAACCATGACCTCATAGGTTTCATCACAGTTAGCACCCATTATCATGTAGTTATGGTCACAGCTCTGAACACCATCAAGTATGTTTAGCAGACTGACTAGATAAGAGGTTGCAGATTCATCTTTACCAAGTGGAGCACCATCTGCTCCAATTGCTACAAAAAATGTCCCTTTCAGTCCATTGAACCAGTGCAAAATCTCTGAATGCTCATTTAACAATAAGTACAACTGTGCCAGTCTCACAAGTAAAGACTCCAGGGGCCTATAAACACCAGTCACAGGATCTTTTTGCTTCTGTGCTGCAAATTCCTACAAGTAATGTAAAAATTGTGCATAATAAGTAACTAAAGACATATTATTTTTAAGTGCAGTTTAAATCTGTAGTTTTAACTACATTTTATAAGTACATTATTAAAAGAGTGTGTCGCAGGAATATTCAATTTCTCTGTCAATCAAATTGTGTTCTTTATTGAATAACATTATTCTGATTAGCCAAGCTCTGAATATATTTCAAATCTCTAAATCATACAAAGTTTGTTCATTATAATAATTAGTTTCATTTCACTATTTTTAATTGCATTCTTATTCAAATTCAAGCATCTCATAATTAAAACACATAAAAAATATAAAACATTAACTTCAGTTAAACTAAAAAAAATAAAAATATGCAATGTTGATATTATTCATTCATCACCATGCAACATCTTTCAAGTTAAAATAATTATAAACCAATTTTTACCTGAAGATCCAATACTTCTCCCATATTAATGCTTTTAATGTATGCCAGTAACCTGTCATATGACACTGGTCTTGGCACTGCTACATCTGTCATGAAAGTGCTGTCTGATCCTTGTCTCATTTGTTTGTATTTGGTTTTAGTAAGTATTCCTCCTTTATAAAGTAAGGCTACACTACGTGTGAAGTTGCTTTCACTGTTTTCATAATTCTTGACACTTTCTTTCACAATGCTGGGGATTACTTTAGAAGAGCAAGTTTTGGAAGACCTAATCAAAGACTCCAGAAATGGTGTTGAGCTATTTTGAACCAATGTTGACCACATTCCATTCAGAACAAATACTTTATCATTGCTAGTATCTGGGGTATTCTTTGCTTTTGTTTTAAAGGGGGAATATCTTCTCCTAGGTCATCACCCTAAAAATAACAAAAAAATTCTCAGATAATCATAAATTAATACTTACTTAAATAATTATATGCTACAAAATAAACATAATTTTTTACAATACAAATTTCATGATTACAAGAATATATTAAAAGAAATTTCAACACAATTAAGTATGAATTATTTAAAATCTCAAAAACAAAATACTTTTTTATACAATTTTCTTATAATAATTGTTAATTGAACCCACCTTTCGTTTTAGATAATTCACTTTATTTTGTAAACACTTCACATGAGTATTAGCAGCAATGTTTTCATCTACAAGTTGTTCCATCATGAGTTTCCTCCTTTTAGCGTACATACCGATGTTAAAATGCCCTTTTCTCTTGCGAATAGAACCATCATGTTTCTCCATTACATCCTCAATAAGACTAGGGGTCTCGGCAGTTTCTCTGATAGAAGTTTCAGAGTTCTGAGGACTAATATATATATTTATACATCAATGGAAAGCTTAGACTTCACGCTACAAATCTGTCGTTTTGGATTTTTGATATAAACATGTTTTTGTTAATAAAATCCACGAAAAAAAAACTTTTTTCATCCAAAATTGTGACCAAAATGCTCACCTTTTAAGAACGTTCTGTTTTGGCGAGGATCCCATAATAGTAATGTAAAATTATACCAAAATATAGCTGCTTTTACGGAGTAGAAAAATTGCATTTTTGTGTAGTTTTTAAAATGAACCCGCCATGGAACTCGTCCCAGGCCCTTCTTGGCTGAATTTCATGAGACATTTTCGAGCATAGCTAGCCCGACGTGTTTAATATTACCATTGATACTAGTTGGACAAACAAAAACCAATGAAATACATATAATAATATAAATTATAACAAAATGTTTTTATTGCTAATAATTCACACTTACATCTTTAATTAAATTTGCATAAATTTTAATAATGCTGACAGGCTTGGCATGGTAAGTAAAAATCATATCAACTACACGGTGAGTAAAAAAAAACGTAAAATGGTCCTTAACACATCGAAGTTGCTTTTTTTTCACCAGTCAATGACTACTGAAAATAGAGTAGAGTAGCATAGCCAATCAGAATGTAGGATTTGCAATAGTCCACTAGTATGGTAATACTAAAATGGCATATTTGATGTTTATCATTGGACATTTGTAATGTACTATTAATAATTGTCTTTGTTTATTAAAACTGCAATTGCTTAAGTACTATATTATATTGTTAAGTTATATTGTTAATTGTTAAGTACTATATTATACTTGTTATTATTTCTATGATACCTTTGCAATCAATATACTAGGATTGATTGCAATTTGTTGTTAGAAAAGAAACAGTTTCAATAAAAATATCAATACCGTAATTGTTGCTTGGTCAATTGTTCTACACATGTCTTGAAAATCAGCTGGTTCTAAAGGGTTTCTTGTTTCTGGAACTTCTACAATATCACAGTCATTACAATCATCTGAAATGGGTCCATCAAGATCAATCCCATATGCTTGTAATTCTTCCTAAAAATTGTATATGAGAATGAGTTGACGTAATTGGAAATTAAGCTGTCATTCATTAGTCTGTAAGTTAGTTAATAGGCATGTAATAAAATAAGGAATTACAGAGCTTGTTGTCAGGGATGATAAAGATATGTCAGATCTTAAAACTAAGCTCAGCTACACATACATAGGTTTGCTGGTTTCTATGTTCTTTTCTTAAAAAGCTTGCCATCGTATGCATTAAAACACAACCTTTGAATAGTAATCTTGTTATCATTATTGTTATATGTTCCGTGATTCTTAGCACTGGGAAATCAAAGAGAAGCATACTTTTCCAGTTAAGATTTGCTTTCTATGATCTTTAATGGGTGTTTTCTGGCAGAATTACAGAATAAAAGAGAGTTTTTTTTAAGAGCGAATGTCCCTAAGCATCGAGAATCTGATTTCAGCGACCTCTTGGTCAAATTCTTCATTCTTTGCCAGATGACACCTTTAGGTAGACCTATTCCAAAAAGCATATAAAAAGATTCCAGGGAATTTTTATTTTTGAGAAATTCGCCAAAGTACAATATTGCCGCCGCGACATAATTACCGTGTCTCGTAATCAGTCTCTCCAAAGGTCGAAAACAAAGCGATACAATGGCCTTAAAAACAATCCAATCAAGCTGAAATTTTACACAAACATAGTTCATTCAATGCTAAATGAAATCAGAGAAACAATTATTTTAGAATAGTACACGAATATTTTTCTGAGACTTGTTTACACATGGTTGTCAAAATCGTTTGAAATATGTACCCTATGTTCATCGCCAGAAAAATCTTCCTGGTACCTAATTTTCTTTTAAATGAACTTGATTTTCTATTTGACATGCTAACAAATATTATCTGTATCGAATTTCAAGCTCGAAATCGAAGTATTTCAATGTGTAATCGATCATCGATTACTCTCCATTATCGGGTCAAAAGTCAACACCGCAGGTGTTTACATTAGCCAACTCACACTTCAACTTTGCAGATTTTTCACTTGTTTCACTTCGTATTATCAATTTTTTTTTTTTTGTCTTTTACTTTTGAAAAGCCCACATTGCACAACTGTTAAGTTATTCAGTTGTTTATGTTTTAAAATGTCAACTGTTCAGTTTATTATATATTAATACGTGACATATTCTATTAAATAGTGTCACGCAACACTAAAGTACAGTAACGATATGACCTGAGCTATACTAGCCCGCTTACAGCCCCCCAGCAGGAACGCCTGTAAGAAGGCTACAGACCATTGAAACCATGCTTTATGAGATCTACGTAGGGTTTCTTGAGTGGAATGGGGCGGTCGGGAACGTCAAGTCCAAGTTGAGCACTGATGTGTTGAAGCATTGCCACCTTAAGTGTCGTAAGAGTACCACTGGAAGCCATTGCGCACAAGTTGTATTGGTCGTACACAAGAGGATGCTGTGGATTGTTCATTTCTACAGACTGTCTTGCATCTGTGAAGTTGGTCTCCTCCTCAGCTGCTAGAATGTCCGCTTCGTTTGCCACTTGTTTTCGGGCTGCTGCACTCAGGCGAGAAAAATAAGACGAAATCTGTTGCGAAGTCAAGAATTCTGAAAGCTTGAAAAGACGATTATCAGTGGCGTCACGAGCACGACGCATCTCCCGCGCAACCATGTCTGCATTCAGCTTTCGACCTGTCGTTTGACCTATGCGGAATTTCGCTTTCAAGTATGTGGTCTGACTTTCATTGAAGCGGTAGGCCTTTTTACAAGCTCTTAAAGCCCACCCTTCATCTACTGTAGTTTGCGCTGTTTGGTTATTGTGAATACTGATCGTTGGCAGGAATCCCACGCCCTCGTCAAGATGCGCTTTGTAGCCGATCTTGGCCAAGTCATGCAAAGTGTGTTTTTCCAACCGCAACAGGCATTTTTCCATTGTCAGATGCTTTGCAAGCGTTCTTACTTGCTGGAACACACGGATACACCCCTCCCGTGGACAACAGAAGACACCAGAGATTGAAATATCCTCGGCACTTGCATTTTCGTCATCAGTTGTGGAACCTTGCTTCGGTTTGGATTGCTTTTTGTTAAACGGTCGAAATTGACCAGACGAAAACGATGAATTTAGCCAGCTTATTTGAGAGACTTGAA